GTTTGAGAGAGGGGGAGGTAGCCAAGGTTTGAAGAACGAGCAACGGTTATCGTTGGCAAACGACAACAAAATGACAAATTACAAACAATAGCATTTGCGTATTTCTTATGTAACAGGCCAGCAGGAGCGATGACTGGATATTCATAAGTGAATATGCCATAAAATCGCAAACAAAGAGGCTAGAAACATAGGAAATACCAATGCTATTGTTTGTAATTTGTCATTTTGTTGTCTTTCCAACGATAACCGTTGCTCGTCTTCAAACCTTGGCTACCTCCCCCTCTCTCAAACTACCGAAGCACCCAACTATCGCTTGGCGTTAATGACAACATCCCCACTTCTCCCTATAGCTCGGCTATTCAGAGTTATTGGATGTCTCGTTGATGCTTAGTTTATGACTCATTTATTAATGAAGACTCTTACCCTTCCATTGCTTCTCTTACACTTCGTTAGAGTCCTGCAATAGCCACTGCTCACAAACCGGTCGAGGCTTTGCACGTGAGCATACTTGCAGAGTGCTTGAGGCGGAGTGGCACTGTCGGCTTCCTCAAAGCCAGCTTATAGGGTTAGGTCCTCCCTTGCAAGGGCGCCCCGTGTCAACCGAGGGATCCGTTCGCAACGGACGGTTAAAACCCGCGGTCTTAGGCGCTCACGGGGCTTAGGCAGGGTATTTTTGACGTTTTTTGACGTTTTTTAGACGTTTGATTTTATAATTGCGGGTGCTTTATTTTATTTTATTCTGCTGTATTTTATCTGATTTCATTTTATATCATTTGACTGATTTTATATCAATTGTCTTATTGAATGCTTGTAAGCTTTATTTACTATGAAGTATGAAGTGTGGGTGCATTAAGGTCTTTTAATATGTGAAGTCTGACAGACTTTCTTTTTTCCTTTTAGTAACAGTTAGAATGTTCTTTCGTGTTGTTCAACTGACGTTTTAAAACAATTGATTATAATTTTTTAATCATAATACAGCCATAAACTGTATATATTTATTATCCGTACTTTTAAGATACTTTTAACGCTTTCATATTTTTAACTGTTTGTGTGTGTGTGTGAGTGAGTACACGAACATGCTAAGCACTCCTAACCAGCACGCTCGGATTGCACGACCCGAGGGCCTGCCTGGCTACGAACCACGCGAGTGGTGTGCTGTTTGTGGCAAGTCAACTGCCAACAAGGGCAAAGTAAACTGTTCCTACACTGACTGCCCGAATATCTGCCATCCCCAGTGCCTCGGTGAAGACTGTCAGTTCACCTGCACAGAAGTGCAAAGGCTACGCCAAGCCATTGGCATCCCGGACGAAGTGTTCCATGTAAATCCTAATAACGAGGCAACTGAGACACACGAGTCTTCCGCCATTGATGAGGAACGGGAGCTTCTCCAGCTAGAGCCTACAGATCTAGTTAGAATAATTCGCAACCTAAAATCCGAGCTGGCAAGGAAGAACTCGCTTCTAAAATTCCTCGGCACCACCACAGAGGATATTGCGAGCAAAAGGGATGCTGTTGTCAATATATTAAACTTTTTTGACAGCATTGTTGCTTCGACAACTGCACTCCCATCCCTAGAGGTCAGATCAATTGCCTGTACTGCACGTCCCGAAAAGATCGACGCTCACTTCCTTTCGCAGCAGCAGGAACAGAGCAGCTCAGATCCGTCTGGCCCGCAGCAAAGCAACTCTACACAAGCGCTGTCGTCGAGCGCCTGTGAAGTACAGAGTGGTTCAGCAACCTCAAACTCGGCTACAAGAACCTCAGTAAATGCAGGCAACCAACAAAATAGGCCTAACAATAGACAAAGTCAAAGCCAACAAACTCGCCATCCCCATAGATCCAATACACCCTTTAATCGAGGTGCAGTACCTCATGGTGGAAGGCGACCTTTAAGTTGCAGGATCTGCAAATCTAGGGGTCACTCAGAGGCTTCCTGCAACAGAAGGAAATCCTGTGACTTCTTGCCACCGTAGAGGGCACACAGTTCAGGAGTGCCGGACAAAACGTAATCAGGAAAGACAGGAAAACTTTTTACAGAATTTTGCATCTGAACAGGCACACAATAATGCCCTGATCGTTCAGACGCTCCAAAGCCTGTCTACTGGTCCACATCACCACAGACCATCAGCATTTGGTGGTTGGCCACTGACCACTATCCACCCACCTCATCATCCACAACTCAGTCCTCAAGGCCCCTGGTTCAATGTCCCACTCCAGCAAAGGGTCGGACAGTCTTACCATCCTCTCAGCCAATGTTAGAGGTTTCCAGACAAATATTGGTGACCTTACACATAGCCATGTCATACCTCACAATCCTGACATAATTGCCACCGTGGAGACTTTCCTAAATCCAACAGTCCCAGAGAAATTCGGGCAAATATCTGGGTTTTCAAAATGGCATAGAAAGGACAGAACTAATGGCACTTTTGGTGGTGTTGCAGTCTGTTTCCGTAAGGCACTTTCCGTTCAGCTCCTGGAAATCGACATGCCAGATCATCTGGAGCTCATGTTTTTCAGGCTCTGGCTTACCACCCAAGAAAACGTCTTACTCTGTGTTTGCTATAGGCCCCAGTGGCAAGGAGGAGAACCCATCGAGTTCCTATTGAACAACCTGGATGGAATTTTACACCACTATATCTGCAAAAACATCCTAATTGTAGGAGATTTGAACCAGCATCTTGTTGCAAAATCCTTTGAGGAACTGCTAACAATACATGGGCTAAACAACCATGTTGATTTTCCCACCCACATCTCAGGCTCCTCATTGGACCCCGTCATCTCCGACCTTCCCGAAGGAGCAGTTAGCTGCCGTAGCATAGGAGCAGTGGGGCTCCTCAGATCATTATGCCATATTCAGCAGGATTAACCTGAAGGCCACTCGTGAGGAGGCACTGACAAGAACCATTTGGAGCTGGAATAAGGGCTGCTGGCAAAGCTTTCGCAGTGTCTTGGAAAACATTGCATGGGACTCCATTCTCACAGGAGATGTTAATACACAGGCTTTTAAATTTACCGAAACACTACAGAATCTGCAAGAACGCTTTATACCTCATAAATCATACAAGGTTAAAGCAGGAGATCAGCCCTGGTTTGGGCACACATGCAGACTTGCAGCAGAGGAAAAAAACAGAGCCTGGATTCGTTTTAAACGTAATCCATCTACAGAAAACAAGCTGACCCACAAAGCTGCCTGCAAAAGGATGAAGCAGGTTCAGAAATGGGCCATCGAACAGTGGAGACAAAGTCTCAGCACAAAACTTACTAACCGTTCGATCGGCAGCAAAGACTGGTGGAGTTTAGTCAAACAACAACAGGGCCTCACGACCAAGACTGCATTCCACCATTATATAAACCAGATGGAAACGTAGCAACATCTAGTCAGGACAAAGCCGGATTACTTGCCTCCTTCTTCTCTCAGAAGATGCGAATCCGTGAACCTGACCGCACACCTCAGCTTCCATCAATGACTAATCAGAGACTTAACACACTGGTCATTCGTGCTGATGAAGTCAAATATCATCTTCTTAAGACTGAGGTTAATAAAGCCTTTGGACCTGACAACGTAAGTCCCTACATACTTAAAAAGTGTGCTGACCATCTTGCAACTCCTCTGGCCACCTTATTCCAAAACTGTCTCCAACAGCAAAAGTGGCCAGCTATCTGGAAACAGGCTAGAGTAGTGGCAGTGCATAAAAAGAAAAGCCAGGCACTCCCTGAAAACTACAGGCCAATCTCACTCCTCTCGATCATAGGCAAAATCTATGAAAAAATTCTGGTGAACAGAATGACAAGTTTCTTCGACAGCAACCACCTACTCAGTAGCAAGCAGTTTGGCTTTAGATCAAAGAGATCAGCATCCGACCTACTACTACAGTTAGTCACCAGTTGGAACAAAACCCTTTATGCTGGCAAAGAAACTTATGTCGTTGCCCTGGATATCGCAAGGTATTATTTCAAAACTAAAAAGCTTTGGCATTGATGGTGACCTCCTGAAGATGATTAAAGAAGAACTCTCCAAGTAGTGGTAAATGGCTACACTTCAAGTGAACACCCAATCAGTGCAAGTGTACCGCAGGGCAGCGTCATTGGCCCGCTCTTATGGAACGTCTATTTCAATGACATTCTACACCTGATCCCAGAAGCCCATGCATATGCTGACGACTGCACTTTATCATTTACATGTGAAAAGCATGAACGCGCTGCCACAGCTGAACATATTAATAATGTGTTATCACTCATCACTTCGTGGGGCCGACGATGGCAGGTCACACTCGCACCTGATAAAACCCAGGTCATGTTTATTTCCCGTCGACAGAGCACACTAACCCCCTCCATTAGTATTGGTGGGAAAACACTCGATCTGACGAAAGAAATAAACATCCTTGGAGTGCAATTTGACAATCAGCTGACATTCACTAGTCACGTAAAAGATGTGGCCAAAAGAGCAGCTCGTAAACTGGCATGCGTACTAGACAGCAGAGGTTGCTGCATGCTGTACAACTCTCAAGTTCGATCCTTGATGGAATATTCCCCTCTGGTATGGTCGTCCTGCCCCCCGTCCTTCCTTACCCTACTCGACAGAGTACAGAACCAAGCCCGCCGCCTTGTGGAATTCAAGATGAGGGAAAATGATCGCCCGGTCTATTTCCAGTCTCTCCAGCACCGCAGGGACGTGGCGGCGTTGTGTGTGTTCTACAAGGTCCACCAGGAGAATAACCCTCACCTCGCCACGCTACGACTTCAGCCCGAGGTTCCCTCAACCTACAACACAAGGAACAGCCACAGCCGAAGTCACGAACTTCACGTTCCCTTCGCGAGAACAGAGACCTTTCTACGCACATTTCTGCCGAAGTACTCCAGAATGTGGAATCAGCTGGTGCGAGAGACGGATTTGCAGCTTTCAACCTCACTCCAACAGTTCAAAGACAGCAGTACACCTGTGGAAGCTGCAGTATGATTTCGGATAACTTTTTGGTGTGATAAGCCACCTTGATTTTAGC